ATTTAATAAGATTTAATGAGCTCCTACTATGTGGCAGATACTCTTTTGGGCTCTTATTAGTGAAAATGCTACTCTTTTTATAGAATTTACAGTCTACCAGGAAGTTATTTGCTATTATTTGCATCTGGATTAACAAGTCTGAAAACCCTCTCTGAAAAAATGTATATTGTGGAAAATCAAAATAAAACCACCTGTTAATGCTTTAATATATCAAAAACTAAGTAAATTATTCTGGTTAATACTATGTTAACACTATGACTATAGGAGCAAACTAAATAAATAAATTATTCTTCCTAACACTATGATAATAGCAGCATAACTATACTTTTATCTGGACTAAACTATGATTAAATCATAGTAAAAAATATTCTCTATCATGAGAATTTAGCTCTCTATGCTCCAAATTGTACTTAAGAAAAAATAAGACAGATGATAGCATGATTGCAGAGCACTGAAAAACAGTAGGCCATTATGAAGAGTAATGATCCCTTTTAGTACAGGTGGAATTAGAATGCTCCTCGGGAAAACACTTGAGATATCTATGCAGCATAATCCTCAGCAACAGTTAAACATTAATATTTTGTTATACTATATATCAGTGGTTCTCCAACACCAGTCTGTAAACAAGTATTGATCCATGACAAAAATCTCACTAGTCCATGGCAAAAAATGTCAATATAAAGTCATCAAATGTGTTCTCTTGTAAAGCACTGTCCTTTATCTGATATTACATCCTTAATATACTTTTGGTGTTAAAACATTATCTTTTATAAAATGAAAGTGATGATAGATGGTATTGTTTATTTTTTAATGCCCTTATCTGTTAAAAAGCGGACAATTCTATCCTGTTCTTGCCAATACTTTGTTTGAAATTTTACTATATGAAATCTAGTTTCTCCATGTACTATCAAGGCTCAGGCAATAATGGGGCTGGTAAAAGAGAGAGGTATTTGGATTATCTAAAATACTGGTAGTTATAGTTAAAAGATCCTGGAACCATAGTTACCTTCATTACTAACTCAAAGAAACACATGACTACATATATTTATGACTACTGTAGGCCCTGTAGAATTCAACAATACATAAACATTGGATTTAGAGCCAATGAAGGGCAATTTGAAAGTTGCAGTCTTTGTATAACTGATGTAACAAGAATGGCAGTTCTCACAGATCTAGGAAAAAATATCTTAACAATGTAATGTTGTAGAAATAGTGCTGAAGTAGAATCAAGACAAAGACTTAATTCTGGTTTTGCCACTAATTATAGGGCCTTGAACTACACTGCTTACATTTAGTGGATCTCTATTTCATCACAAAATGAAATGGTTGGACTGGCTAATCTCTAACATTTTGATCATCCTAAAAATCTACACATCAACTCCTTTAAATGGATTGAAAGTTATCAGACAATCCTGATAACTGTTACTCATCAACAATTTGGATAAATTATATCATATGTTTCTTGAGAGAAGGTTCAACACCTTAGAGAAACAGTCCCAGTTATGCATCTATAGGGTGGGTAGAAGAGGTGAGGGGGGAAGATACTTGCTGATAACTGGACTTTAAGCGAAATATTTTTAAACTAATCTTTTATTGGAGTAGGTGAAAGCGTTAAAAGAAGGGAGAGATTTGGCTCTAGCATACCTTTTCCCTCTCCCTAGTACTGGGGGCAGGCAAAAGAAAAGAGGAAGGCAAACCTCTCTTTACATGACTAGTCATAGAACATCAATGGTAAGAAGATAAGTGTTTCATTGTTCAGGTTAAGTTTGGTTTCATTCAATGATGATGGACTCAGCATAATTTCTGGGGCCAGGTGGCAGAAATTAAAGACACTTAGATACAAAACTTTTTCTTTTCTTTGTGGTTCCTCCCTCCCTCTCTCTTTCTCTCTCTCCCCCTCTCTTTTTTCCTTCCTTTCCACCTACCATGGTGCTTTTTATTTTCTACTTAATGCTATGGTCCCCTGGGATATTCACAGGCCAAAGGCAGACCCTCACAGATACCTAAGGGCCTCACTACACGACTCAGCACTGGGTTCTACCTCCTGCAAGCTGCTAGGACTATGTATTATGTCCTGGCTGAAGTTGGTGAAGTCAGTCTCTCCATCCCATGGTTCCTCTGCCCCAACCTATGGCAGGTGGGTAACCTCTAAAGGACTGCAACTGCCAGGCAGGGATGCAACTCAGTACCTGAACTTGGGACTCACTCCCTGCCAAGGCACCTACTTAATGTGCCGGGGCTTTGCCAACCTGGGACAGAGGATGCTTCAGGGCACATGTACTCAGCTCAGACCCTCCCTGCTACATCTAGGCCTCCACCTGTGTTAAAGGGCAACAGGAGAACACAAGCCTCTACCCACAATGTGACCCAGTCGACTCACAGCAGTGGCAAGACAGGAGCAGGGAGGCTAAGGCTGTGCCGGGCCGAGGACACCAAAGGGTAGAAGAGTCAGCAGCCAAGAATGGTTCCTGGTAGGCAGTAGGGGGCAGGAGAACGCTGGAGCTGAGGCTTCAAGCCCCAGTGCATGCTCCATTTTCTCATCAGACTTAATTTACAAAACATATATTCAAATATAAAAATTTAAAAAGGGGCTTCCCTGGTGGCGCAGTGGTTAAGAATCTGCCTGCTGATGCAGGGGACATGGGTTTGAGCCCTGGTCCGGGAAGATCCCACATGCTGTGAAGCAACTAAGCCTGTGCGCCACAACTACTGAGCCTGCGCTCTAGAGCCTGCGAGCCACTACTGTAGCCCATGCCTAGAGCCCGTGCTCTGCAACAAGAGAAGCCACCACAATGAGAAGCCGGTGCACCGCAATGAAGAGTAGGCCCCGCTTGCCGCAACTAGAGAAAGCCTGCACACAGCAACGAAGAACCAACGCAGCCAAAAATAAATTAAATAAATAAATAAAAATTTTTAAAAATGTTAAGACAGGGCTTCCCTGATGGCGCAGTGGTTGAGAATCTACCCTGCCAATGCAGGGGACACGGGTTCGAGCCCTGGTCTGGGAGGATCCCACATGCCGCGGAGCAAGTAGGCCTGTGAGCCACAACTACTGAGCCTGCGCGTCTGGAGCTTGTGCTCCGCAACAAGAGAGGCCGCGACAGTGAGAGGCCCGTGCACCGCGATGAAGAGTGGCCCCTGCTCGCCGCAGCTAGAGAAAGCCCTCGCACAGAAACGAAGACCCAAAACAGCCAAAAATTAATTAATTAATTAATTTTTAAAAAATGTTAAGATAGTGACCACAGAATATTAAACCTGAAACTCAAGGCTCCTCTGGGCTTTATGCAACTGTACTGGTTACATTCCCATGAAGCTGGCCCAGGCCTCTGCTGAGAGTGGTCTTTTTGTGGAAGGTGAATGTACTTTTCTTGGGAAATGTTCAGCTCCACCCTTCATTACCAAGAATCCCTTCAGAGGTGCACAAATATTTTCCACTGGCCACTCCAGTGGAATATGTCCCCAACGCCTTCTCTTGAGTTGGACATCCCATCACTTGGCAGTTCCTGCTCTTCCACTAACCTCCACATGCCTTCACGTGGAGCCAAGGAACCACCATATTCTCAATTTTGCACGCTTCCAGGGCCATATAGCATTAGAACAAGCATAATATACACTTCAAGCTCCACTGGAACAGATTACTCCAAAAACTTTCCTCCTTCAAACTTCTAGACTAGCACTGGGCATCAGTCTTTATGTTCTTGGTATACACTTTCAAAACTTCAAGAAACATATGCCAAGTTCTCCCACATGAACTTATCACATTTTACTGGCAACACCACAGTGGACCTTCAGGTTTCAATAGCATCTCAAACAACCATCTAAAAAACAAGATGGCAGTTTCCCCTTTTTGTACCCCAATTTTTACACGATTTTCCTGTAGACTCCTTCACTTAGATTCATGAGGGGAAGTGCGTCTCTCTCTATTAGGGATGTAAGAGAAAAATCTCTCTTAATGAACCTTCACTCCCAAAACATCAGTGGCCGTAACTTCTTCTCCGCAATCATTTTCGTATATATACTGGGAAGAGGATGATGGGGTGATTGTTATGGTAACAGGGCCAGTTCTATCATGTTCCTGTGAAGAGGGAGCTTCCCCCGCCCTCCATTTCTGTGAGGTCACGGATTCCTCTCCTAGAATGTGGTAACACTTGTCACCTTTTATTTTCAGTTTTGGATCTTGGCCACAATTCTAAGACACAGAAAAAAAAAACACAAACCCATCCAATCTGCTACAAATCAGTTACTTGATAAAACTGAACATTTAACTAGAGACTTAAATGTTAAAATAAAACATGCTCATAGATTTTACTTCAAAAAACAAACAAAAGATCTGTCAAGTACTGAACTCTATTTAATGATGCTCAGGATGTAATATGTTAAGGGTGAAGTGTACAGATGACTGCAATTTACTTTGAAATGCATATAATAAAAAAGGGGTGGAGAAACATATGATAAAGCAAATAGGTAAAATATTAATTGTAGAATCCAGGCGGTAGGCGTATGATTGTTTATGATACAATTCTCTCAACATTCCTGTATGTTCAAAAATTTTCATTAAAAAATGCTGGGGATGGGCTTCCCTGGTGGCGCAGTGCTTGAGAGTCCACCTGCTGATGCAGGAGACGCGGGTTCGTGCCCCGTTTCGGGAAGATCCCACATGCCGCGGAGCGGCTGGGCCCGTGAGCCATGGCCACTGAGCCTGCGCGTCCGGAGCCTGTGCTCCGCAAATGGGAGAGGCCACAACAGTGAGAGGCCCGCATAACGCAAGGAAAAAAAAAAAAAAAAAAAAAATGCTGGGGAAAAATAAATAAATAAAATAAAATAAATGCTCATTACTTTGGACATTGATAACAAGCTGATGAAGGAGACCAATATTTTATCCTTAAATTCAAAATGATCTCAGATAAAGTTGGACAGACGAATGCAACTAAACAGGTAAAACTCATTAGATGAAAATATACTAATATATATATATATATAAAATCAGGATATGTATATATATCCTGATTATTTTCTTTTAGCACCTTCAATTCTTCTTCCATTTTAGTATTAGCTTGAGTCTGTTGCTGAAGTAACTGCTGCAATTGTTGGAAAGAAATGATGATGCCCTATAAAAAAGTATAAATATGACATATTAATTGAAAAAGTTTTAAGGCAGTAGGTATGTTTCTAAACTCATTCTTAAAAATATATTTTCTAGTTTCTTAACTTATTATCTTTACAGTTTAATTTCAATGCCATAATAAACAATATACTGAAATAAACTAATGGCATATTTTATTAATTTAATATTTAACATAATTTGTATTACATGATTTCTTACAAAGTATTATTTCTAAGAGTTCCTCAAATAATTAACAAAGTTTTTGAAATGGACCACGAATTCTGTGACACTACTGAAAAATGTAAAGAATTCAAAACTAAAACTTTTGTTGGTTTTCCCCCCAAATGGTAAATATTATCACTACTAAAATATTTCACTGCTGGTGGGCTAGGATGGCATGGCATGCATTCAGAATCAAACAGAGGAAAAGCAGAAGAGAAAAAAAAGAAACAGAAGAAATTTTCTTTCACATATCTTTTTTTAGAATAGAATAAGTATAAATATCAAATAAATGCAAATGAGAGTATAATGTCCTGTAAATGCATGCTCTAAGCATACACACATTTCAATAATTATCTGCTAGTGGTCCAAACTAAGGAAAAAAACTAACTTATTTTTATTCTTTTTATTTTATTTATTTATAAAATATTTTAATGTAATCTTTTTTCCAGCTTTATTGAGATATAATTGCCATATAACATGTAAGCTTATGGTGTACAACGTGATGATTTGATACACATATTTATTGTGATATAATTAACACAATAAGGTTAAAATCTCTATCACCACACATAATCACCAAATTTTTTGTATGTGGTGAGAACATTTAAGACTCTCCGTATAAAATAAATAAGCTACAAGGATATATTGTACAGCACAGGGAATATAGTCAATATTTTATAATAACTTTAAATGGAGTTTAATCTATGACAATTTTGAATCACTATGTTATACACTGGAAACTAATATAACATTGTAAATCGACTACCCCTCAACTAACTAAATAAATACTTTTAAAATAATATGTCTTCGTAGTCTCATAAAAAAAAAATCTACTCTCTTAGCAACTCTCAAATATATGATACAGTATTGTTAACTAAAGTCATCATGCTATACATTCCATCCCCAGAACTAACTCATCTTACAACTGGAAGTTTGTATCTTTTGATGAACATCTCCCCATTTCTCCTCTGATTTATTTTTTAATGGGAGTATAGGTGAGACCTGGTTAAAAGAGGTACACATGTATCCATTCAATACACACCAACTGAGTGCTTACTATGTGCTAGGAATTGACCTAGGCATGATTCCATTTGTTACTTAACTTAGTTTATTTCCCACATTGTATTTGGTTTTGAAAATATTTACTGGCTTCCAAATTATCTTATGATTGCTTGCCTGTTTTTCTTCTTGAATATGGGTAATCTCTTCATTAATCTTCTTATTTAATTCCAATTCCTAAAAAATGTGAATAATTTTAAAGTTATGATACAAAATTCAGCAAATTATACATTCAATTCAGTGCTTAACAAATTTGGGAGTGTGATGACCTATTATTACTCCAGAGAACCAATGTTTGTTTACTGTTGAAGCAGTGACTCTAGTGAACTGAAGATGGTGTTAGATACCCAGTACAGGCTGGTGCAAACTTATAAACATTAATGTTCGAAGCTACAGAATTTCTCATCTCCAAAAGCTTTCCTGAGGATACCATTATACCAGAAGATTACCTGATACCATATTAAAGTGAAAATAAAGTGGTTATAGCTAAATTTTATTATCTTAAAGTTTTGTTGATAATGCCAAAAATTATCTAGCAATTTTTTTAAAATTTGTAAAATCATTTTTACTATGTATATTAACTCTACAAAGAAGGAATGTTTTTGTATTATAATCCTCTTATTTGTTTATATATCTCATAAATTTTACAAAAATGTTCATTTTATAAACATGAATATATTTAATTAAATACCATTTTGAGTCTTTCTTGAAGTTCTTGAAATTTTTGTTCTTTAATTGTTAAATTGATGTTTTCTTCTCCCATCTTATGTTGTTGACATGTGACCTTGGTCTTTATCAAGTCTGAGGTTACTTTTTTAAGTTCCTTAACATAAGAAACATCAAACAGAGAATTCAGTACACATGTTTCATCAAAGCAAGGCACTTTTCTGACAGTTTTAAAGTTCATTTTAAACCTATCACTACAATTTACTATATTTCATATATTAAGATACTACTACTTGCCCATCAAGGTCCTTTTAACCTAGTTTCCTTGCAAGATAATTAGCCAATGCTATTTGTAGTTATGGAATAGGCAAATGCAATGACACAAAGATAGAATGCATGATCTCTGTTCTTAAAAAGAATACACTAACTAAATGAACTAACCAACCAGAAGCAGGGCGTTTTCACTGATGACTTATTCAACAAAAATCTTTTAAGATAAAAACATGATATAAAAGATTATCAATTCCCAAGTTATTAGCAGCTAATAAGAAAAATTTATGTAAGAAATAATTATAACGTGATGAGTGCTATAATACAGGAAGGAATGTATAGAAGTATAAAGAATGAAACAGTTTGGTTGAGGGCATCAAGAAGGCATTACACAGGAAAGTGGTATTTGAACTGAGTCTTTAAAGATAAATTTTTGAAGAGGACAACAAAATGAGTAGATATTCCAGGCAAAAAGATTCAGAAAGGTACAGAAACATGAAAGAGCATATTTTTCAGGGAAACAGAACTAATATGATATGGTTGGAGCTAATATGTTATGGGTAAGGGGGAGGAGTAAAGTACTGGTAGTTGTGACTAGAAATTTGGCAAAATTCAAATATTGAAAGATTTGTAGGCCAAGCTAAAGAGTTTTAATTTTATCCTATAGACAATGAGCAATTAACCACTGAAGCATTTTGAATAAGAGAATGACATAACAAGATTTGCATTTTAGAAAAATAACTCTGGTATCACTGTAGAGGATAGACTTGAAGGGGATACAAAAGAAGTCTTCACTGTGAAGTTATATGTCCACTGAGTTTAACAGATACATCCAAACACATTTAAATCCCGAAACACCAACTTCTGAATGGTGTGTACTTTATTGTACTGCTGTTCTGTTTATATTGACTATATTAAATACTCAAGGATCTGATTTTCACATTCTTGATTACACAGCGCCTGAACTCCCTTTGAATTTTGAAGGCCCACTAGAGAAGCCGGAAATGCCAAATACTAGTTTTATAAGCATGACACCAGGCTCTGCTAATCAGAAGCACCTGTCTTGGATACTGGATCAGGAACTAGTAACACAAGAACAAGAACTGTTGCAAACCTTTCTACTGGTAGATAGCAGGGGCTGTGCTAGTAACTTCAACCTTCCATGGATAACAGTGATACTGCTGTAGCAGTAGCAGTATCTACTATTGTCAACAGTGATGGTACAAGCTGCAATGTACAACAACTTAGTAGTGGAAGTTGGTTATATACCTTCTCTTGTTTCTGACAATTTTCCAAGTCTGAGATGACCAACATCCAAATTCCTTTGCTGAAAAAAATCATCTTACAATTAAGAATTTTTTTTTTTTTCCTATAAATTTATTTATTTATTTATTTATTTATTTTTGGCTGTGTTGGGTCTTCGTTTCTGTGCAAGGGCTTTCTCTAGTTGCGGCAAGCGGGGGCCTCTCTTCATCGCGGTGCGCGGGCCTTTCACTGTCATGGCCTCTCCCGTTGTGGGGCACAGGCTCCAGACACGCAGGCTCAGTAGTTGTGGCTCACGGGCCTAGCTGCTCCGCGGCACGCGGGATCCTCCCAGACCAGGGCTCGAACCCGTGTCCCCTGCATTGGCAGGCGGATTCTCAACCACTGCGCCACCAGGGAAACCCAACAATTAAGAATTTTGATTAATATACTTCAATTTTTAAAAGGTTGTATTTAAGAACCGAAGTTGGTTAATTAGTGTGGTGAGATTACAGGAAATTTTTATTTTCTTCATTTTGCTGTTAGGTGTTTTCTCTTTTTTTCTAAAATAAACACATATTTCTCATGTATCAGTTTTTAAATAGTATGTAAAGCTATGGAAACAGGTGCAGTCATTTAGTTATTAGTTAGAGGAAAGATGATGACAAATGACTGAGTCTTAAAGAACTCCAAGATTCATGGATTAAAGAAGCTGCTAATACAGAAGGCTGAGAAATACAGTCAACTGAGGCAGGAGGAAAACCAAGAGAATGTGGTATCAAGGAAGCTGAAAAAGGAACGGCAGAAAACAGGGCTGTCAATACCTCCAGAGTTCTACATGTTATAACCTCAGCCACCTAGAGGGAAACTTGCCTGATTGATTACCTTTTAACCCCTAGTCCAAAATCCAGGAGAATGGATTCATTAGTCTTAGTTCACATATTCCCTTTAGATATGTGCACTACATAAAATGACTGCTAAAGGAACCGCGTGGGTTAAGAGATACGGCTTTATTCTCAGAAAAGCAGGTAGACAAAATAATGTACAAAGAGAACAATCAGCATGTACTGAATAATGAAAGAAGTTTGAATGAAGGAGGTAGGCCTTGAAGAATGAGTAGTATACTGGATATCCTTCATTTGTCACTCCTGATTCACCCTCCACTTTCTCTGTGGCCTGTGTGGCATCTGTGGATACAGCAGGCAAGCTCCCTTCCCTCTGGCTTGTGGGGTTCAATCTCTGGGAAGCATCAGTAAATCAGTATGCTGGGAAGAGAGAGAGATGGAGGTGTTTCCCCAGCTCTCTCCCTACATGACAACAAATTGGCAATAGCTCTGTACCTTTACCAAAGGTCACAGCTTCTGAACTGTAGCTTTCTTCTACAGCTTTACCTATAGCTCCCTCCAGGTTCCAGTATCTGCTTCCTTCCCTTGCCACCATCAGATCTAGCTTCTATCCCTTGCTGGTTTCCCTTAACTCTGCCTACAACTCTGTAAATAGCTCTTTCATCAAACTTTTCTCAATTTCCCATACCAGTGTGCCATCTGTTTCCTGCCTCAATCCTGTTTAATACAAGTAAGTTGAGAGAAGGCATTTCAAGTTGGGGCAGGGAATATGGAGGTGAGAAAAGGTAAAAAGATAGGGAAAATTAACAATTATGATAATGGCAACAAAGATTTTGGATTAAACAGAATGGAAGATGCTTATTAGGAAGGAGTAGGAAACAATGTTGAAGATGTAAAATGGGACCAGACCATGGAAGTTCTGGAAAGCCAATTAAAAAAGTTTGGGACTAAATCAACATGTTGTACACCTTAAGCTTAAACAGTGTTATATGTCAATTATATCTCAATAAAGCTGGGAAAAAAAGTTTTGGACTTGATTTGGTAGACAAAGGAGAACTATTCAATTTATCATTCCTTCTACATATGCTAAGTATCTAGCATGTGTCAGGCACGTAGAAGCAATAATATTAAACTAGTAACTTAGTAAAGTTAGTCTAGCAAAAAGAGTGAATACAAACTGCATAGGGCTTCCCTGGCAGCGCAGTGGTTGAGAGTACGCCTGCCGATGCAGGGGACACGGGTTCATGCCCCAGTCCGGGAGGATCCCACATGCCGCGGAGCGGCTGGGCCCGTGAGCCATGGCCGCTGAGCCTGCGCGTCCAGAGCCTGTGCTCCGCAACGGGAGAGGCCACAGCAGTGAGAGGCCCGCGTACCAACCACCCCCCCCCCAAATAAAAACAACAACTGGAGAGTAGAACACTGGCTACGAGGCTATTTTATTAATCCAGAATTGAGATGATGAATGTCTATACCATTGAGAAATGGATAATGAAAAATATGAGACATTCTAAAGGAAGATATAATTGAATAGACAAAGGAAATGAAGGAAAAAAGATGATTTCAAAGCATTTAGATGAAGCTAGAAGAAATAAGAGACCATGAAATGTGAAACAGAGATGCATGAAAATGGAAAGGAAACGAAAAATCTGCTTTACTGATGAAACAGATGAAAAATCTATTAAAGACAAGAAATAAGAGAGGGACAATATTCTGAGATTGACTCTTAAGAAAGCCAAAAAGCACAAATTACTAAGCCTAAGCCATAGGCTGTTACTGTTGTAAAAAAAATCGTTCATTCATTATTTTTCAAATTATAAAAGGTTACATATGATGAATTCCCTCAAATGAAGTTTCAAGGTATCAGTGATGGTTCACCTTCATAGGCAGCAAGATGGTTTCCTTTGAAAGGAGAGTTGCATGATTTTTCTTTCTTTCTTTCTTTTTTTTTTTTGGCAGCAGGAGGAGGAAGGATGGAGAGAATAAAGAATCAATCCAATGGGTGACCCTGACGTTACAGTAAGTCATAAAAGGCGATGACCTGCAGGCAGTTGAAAATACAGAACTGGATATTAAAAGAAATGTGAGGCTAGAAATATAGATATGAAGTCATCTATATGAAGTGAATGATGGAATTAAGGAGGATAAGCTAATTGAAAACAAGTATGAAGAAAAGAAAGAGACATTATGATACAGCTTTGGAGGAATTGGGGAAAAAAAAGATAATCTGGGAACCGGAGGAATTTATTTGTACCCAAAGACCCTTAAAAAGTGAACTATCACACAGATGTTCAAAATTAGTACATTTTATATTTTAAACATCATTTTGTACAAAATACAATATTCTGTAATGAAAAGCATGAATTGTCAGTATAAGTTAGGATGCTTTGGTTATAACTATCAGAAAACCATACTTAAACCATTACATAATAATGAAATATATTCTGTAGCAAGAGGTAATTTAGGTATCCCACAGCAACTGTCTCTTCCTGGAACTCTTACTATAGAGTATGAAAATTTTTCTTTGAACCACCTCCTGCTAGCCAGAATTAGATAACATGCTCATTCCTGAACCAAATACTGGCATAAGGAATGGAGATGATATTAATTGGCTTAGAGACAGACTGATCATATGAGGTGCACTAGATGTTGAGGAATTATCACAATATCCACTACATGAAGAATTTCAACTAACATTATAAAATTTATAGGTTGTTTAGAATATTACTGACTACAAATAGTACACAATACAAAGTGAGGATAAATGGAGGCTTTTTTACAAGATGCTTGACTTTGAATAATT